TTTTGCTAAAAATATTAATGCTGTTTGGCATTTTCTATCAAGTTGATACTGAAAACATATACTATATTTTAGAGAAAAAGTTTTATATAAGTTTATTATATGAATGTATTTCGGATTCAGGGGGACACCGACCAACATGTGGTTATGCTTTTAGGGCACAAGTGTGAGTCTCTTTTGTTTGCTTATGAACGTGTGAAAACTAATAATTTGTGTTTCACCCGCCCACATAAATTTTACTTTTCTGGTTAATGTCCACGCACAAAAAACCCTGTTGCCAAAGTGAAAAATGTCTATAGATGATGCTTAGTCTTTTGGAAACATGAATTATTACTACTAGAAATTTAATATTATATTTTAATAAGTTTTACTACCAGAATATATAACATGTTTCGTCGTTTCCGTATTTTTCCAATTTTATTGGATATCTTTAGAGATACTGTTTTCATCTACGGTCTACCGCTATTATCATTTCACTTTAGTTTTAATTTATCCTCCAACAAATTTTGAACATTTCGAAATATGCAATCAAGACTACACATTCAAGTTATGTTATTCGGATGTTATATATGATAGTCATGTCCTAGCCGGCTGGCCACAACTGTATATGTAGGACTATCGCACATCAACTCTCCTCAATATATCTATGAATCTTCTCATATGACAATATGTACGCGACTATGTAAATTTGGAAAATATGTCAATATGGCCGGCACATCACCATAATATATGTTTGGCTTCACTAGCTAGTATGTTATTGAAAATCAATTCCATGTAAGTTATCTAATATATACGTAAAACATTGCTCGACGTCAAGCACATTTTATTTTTTGACTTAACGTCAAGCACATTTAATTGGGTGATTTCAGCATATGTTATCCATTAGATATATATGCATTTTGTGGTATAGTGTACACGTTTATTTAACGATTACCAACATGTATCACCTATTTATTTTCATATTTTGTAGAAAACGGGCTGATGAAAGTCTGGAGATATAGAAAAATTGATTACGCATTCATATAATGTGTGCACTGAAAAGTTGGAAATAAAAACAGTAGAGGCAATAGCTATATGCATATATTTTTGTTTTCATAATATTATGCATGAGAAGCTAAACGGAAATACCTTAGGTCATATGTAATCTTATCGTTAAAGTAACTTTATAATATATATATATATGTATAATATACATATATATTATGAAGTACTAATTAGTTCAGAATATAAAAATGTAGTTTAAGATTTAAGAGTAAAGAACCTATTTATTTTCATATTTTGTAGAAAACGGGCTGATGAAAGTCTGAAGATATAGAAAAATTGATTACGCATTCATATAATGTGTGCACTGAAAAGTTGGAAATAAAAACAGTAGAGGCAATAGCTATATGCATATATTTTTGTTTTCATAATATTATGCATGAGAAGCTAAACGGAAATACCTTAGGTCATATGTAATCTTATCGTTAAGGTAACTTTTATAATATATATATATGTATAATATACATATATATTATGAAGTACTAATTAGTTCAGAATATAAAAATGTAGTTTAAGATTTAAGAGTAAAGAAATGGAAGAAGCTTCACAGAAAGAGAAGAGGAACTTGGATCTGCACTTTTCATCAAAAAAAAGAAGAAAGAAAAACCCTAGTTATAGATATATATGGCTCTGCTCTGTGACATGTACGGACTATATATTTACAATTTACAAGATATATAATGTATCTTCAGTGTAAGAGATGGATGATAGATTCAGATGATGACGTAGTTAATAATATCACTATCTATTTACATTGTAGTTTAACAAGAAAATTTCGCTCGTACCTAGCAATAAGATAAAATTGTTATACAATTAACATAGGGGTCTCTTGGAGTTGAGACAACGTCGTCTTAACTTTCCAATTCCATTAACAAGAACGGCATATGGTATGGGTTTGGTGCTGACACTTTAAAAAACATACCAAAGATACGGCGTAAGTGATTTTAAAATCAAATTTCTGTAGATTTTTTTTTTAAATATTCCTTCAGTTGTTCAAGTGACTCTGATGTGTTCCGCACATGAACGCTTCACCATCACAAAAGAGCCAAAAGACTAAAGCTCTACACTTTTTATTTTTATTTATTTAAACTTATCAAAACATGTAATGATCAGATAATAGCTTGGCAGATTCATGCATATATGCTAAGTTAATTCTAAATTTTAATTACGTACTAAAGTTAAATATAATAAATCATCATTCGCCGGCACTATGTTTGGACTTTGTTAAGAGACAAATGGAAATGTTGTTATGAAAAGGACATGTGAACTAAACAAAGACAACATCTTTCCTAATGTCACACACGAGCAGAAAACATCACTATCCAATTTTTGCAATTATTACTATCATTATGACAAGATTATAAATATATAAACTCTAGTTAGTTATGCCAATTTTTTCTACTTATGTATGCGTGTAAGTGTCTATTAAAGGTAATGTTAGTGATACTTTACAGCAATTTATCTCTCTCTAATTATGCACTGCGCCCGTAAAAGGGGAGTGTCGAAGTCTTATTCATCTTAATAAAGAAACATGTTGTATTGTGGTATTGGGCCCCTTGGTAAGACTTTTTTTTGGCAGCAGTGAAACTCAACTTATTATGTTTTTTAATCAAGGACTTAGTGTTTATATACTCGTACTGAACCTGCAATTTGTGTTTAATTAGGGGTTGACTGCAATCGTTTGACCAAGCAACAAAAAAAATTGTCAATCGCGTAAGAAAGTCTACATAAGTATAATCCATCTCAACAAAAAAAAATCCAAAATTTTAGAAGTTTCATTCTCTATTGGAAAAAAATAACAAGAAAAAAATTAATGAAAATGTTCAAAACAAACAAGAAAAAGGTCGTGTTTCCAAAAAAAAAAAACTAGAAAAATACCCAGCTGAAATGCTCGTCCGTGGATTAGAGTTTTAGCCACTGAAAAATTTACATATAGGCTGCAACATCCGAGACCGAAGATCGTTATAGGTGAGCCACATGGTGATGTCCTGACGGTGTCCTTGCTCGCTTCGGTCTCTAGTCTGGATCACTTCAGTGGGATCAGGATACTCAGGTAGCAAAAGAAAAAAAAAACAAGAAAAATGTTGTGCTTCCAAAGAAAAAGCTAGAAAAATGCCCAGTTGGAGTGTTCGACCGTGGATTAGAGTATTGGCCACTGAAAAATTTACATATAGGCTGCAACATCCGAGACCGAAGATCGTTATAGGTGAGTCACATGGTGACGTCCTGACAGTGTCCTTGCTCGTTTCGGTCTCTAGTCTGGACCACTTCAGTAGGCTCAGGATACTTAGTTAGCAAAAAAAAAAAAAAAAAAAAAACAAAATGTGATTCAACCTTCATCTACACGGACCAATCAAATACGCAGTAGTAAACATGTGCTAGTGATACTTAAGCCCGCTCGTTTAAGATAATGGGCTAAGCCTAGATGAAATCTTTCTACCGGCCTGACCTAACCAAATCAAGTCAGACCTGATTGATTTGAAAAACCCAACAAATTGTAGACTCTTCTTTCGATTAAAGCCCATAAGGAAACAAACAAAAGAAAATATTTATCTACAGAAATTGATACTTGATTATCAATATCTTTTAGCACTGATATCTATTAACTCATTTTCAAATTTGAAAGTGTTTTAAAACATGTATATTAACACTATGACAACAATCACAAGACCAGTCACAAGTTACAGTCTGACTTGGTGTAAAGAAATAGATAGTCGACAAAAAAAAAAAAAAAACAGTAAAGCTGTTGTATGTTTCTGGTGTATAAATTCATAGTAATACATAAGGTAAATAAAAATCCACTCGTAATTGTTCTTAAGTGAAGATGTTTGAGTTGGTAACTATAACGAATTCCACTTTACCTAATTTGTCTTTTTGGTTTAGGTATTGAGTTTTGTATGTTTTCTAGTATAGTAAGCAATCCATCTGGACCAACCTCACCATCAACAATCATATATCTTCTCTATTAAATAATCAAATTTAATATAACTTTTTTGATTTATACTTGTTTTCTCATTTCATATAAAGCATAGTAAACAAAAGGCATAAAGGAAAAAAACACAAAGTAGATAGAAGTTGAACTGAACAAACGTATTTCTTTTGTCTACTCGTTTCTTACGTGAGACCACGGAAATTCCAATTATTACTACACATTACGTAAAAGTCTCCCATTATATTCATGATTCCAAGCATATAATCAGCTAGAACAGGGATAATAGTTTTTTTTTTGTGTTTTTGTTTTTGAAAATTTCAGATGCTATTTTCCCGCAAAAAATAATTTTAATATTTTTCATGTTTCCAACTGTAATTTCACGAGAAAATGTTGAAAAACGCCCGCCAATGTTACACATCATCAAAATTAGACTTGGATTGGATTCAAGAAAGTCGACAGTTAAAAGAGACAAGAATTTAAGAAAGTATATCGTAGTACTATCTATCTATACTTAAAAGTATATATTAACTTTAGAGAAAGCCTTTAGTCAAAAAAAAAATATATATTAACTTTAGAATACCTAGCTTTGTTACAATTATGAGTAGGTAGCCAAGATGAACCTACATGTATCAGTTCTACCAAGATATAAACCTAACAAATGAAGTTTTCTATAACGTATTGCCATAATTTGTGGAGCATGAAGACCAGATAAAAGATTTTATTTTAATTGTTTATGATGATAAAATCAGAATTTGAGGACACTTCAAAAGTTTTAAAAGTAAAACGTCAAAACAACAATAAGTGTAGATTACTTTAAAGGTGGAGTAAGTCAATGTAATGGGATAAAGTATGTGTATTAAGTATTCTAAATCAATTTGATAAAATATCAATAAAGTGTTGACTGAGATGTATGTATAATACATATAACATATATTGATATTGATATATATACAAAGAGAATGATGATTGATGAAGATGGTTAAGTGTAACTTGAGTTCCAAGGAACTCTTCTGGCAAATACAACGCAGCTATGCCAACACCAGCAAGGAACAACCATGCCTCTAACATGCAGATTCAAGAACCAAGAATAAGATCTCCTCTTCCTCCTTCTCCAATTGCCTTTAAGGTCTCTCTCTCCACCTTCTTCCTCTTGAATCAAGAACTATGAAACTCTTTTCTTGAACTCTGTATCTTCTCTGCTTCTCTTTGTCCTTAACTTCATCTTTCCTATCTTTTTACTCTCTGTTTCTCTCCTTTCTCATTGACTCAAGAACCAAACCTAGACTCAGCTCCTGTTTTGTCTCTTATTGTTTCTCTATGGTGATTGTTGCATCAAGTTCACATTTATCAGCTTCAAATACACATTAGTGACATACCAAACTGTTTTTTTTTTGTTTTGCAGGAACAACAAGGTAGACCACCTGCCACCACACAACAAACAATAACCGGAAAACTCTTTAGAAACCTCTTCAAGGGTCTCCTCTTCTCACAACTAACCCTAATCTCACTCTTAGTGATTGTCCTCACCATTCGAGGTCTAATCTTAGCAAGTTCACACCATTTCCACCCCAAGAAATGGTATCCTCCTTTACTAGCATCTGTAGCCGTCTCAGGAGTTTCATCTTTAGCCTTGCAATGTATCTTTATCTACACTCCATCAAGAGCAGTCAGAGCAACGTTCTGGCTTAGCCCTATACTCACCTGCTCGGTTGGTATCTTGCTTGTTCTGATCGGCTCCGCGGTAGATGCAGGGATCGGTGCTGTCTTTGTGCTTTTCGCAATTACTCAGTCTCTGTACGGTTGCTGGATCACTCCAAGGCTTGAATATACTGACAAGATTTTATCACTCTCCACATCTTTTCCACCTGCAAAAACCAGAGAAGTAGTCACTTTATCAATTGTCATAAGTGTGGTTTACTCTGGCTTCTTGGTGACTGGAATCGGAGGTGCAACTTCCACTAGAACAAGTCTTGATCTCTTGTTCATATCTCTAATCTTGATAAGCTTAGCATGGACTATGCAAGTTCTCAAGAATGTACAACAAGTTGCTATCTCGCGTGCAAGATACGTAAACTTTGCGTATGGAGAAGAGATGGATGCTTGGAGTGCGTTACACGTCACTGTGAAACATTTGATAGGGAGCATATGCATTGGGTCAACGCTTGTTCCAATCATTGTACTCATCAGAGGAATGATCAGAAGCGTTAATCTAATGTCAGGGAGTAGTGATGAGGTTATGTATTCAGGTGCTGACTGCTTCTCCACCCTTGCCAACAAGATTGTTGTGTGTGGAAACAGATGGGGTTTTGTACATGTTGGAACTTATGACAAAGGGTTCGTGGAGGCTTCGAGTGATACATGGAAGAAGTTTAGAAGTGTAAATGATTTAGAGAAAGTGATTGATTCGGATCTCACTAGCTCCTTGTGTTTCCTCAGTGCTGTTTCTGTTGGTGCAGTGTCTTCATTGACTGCTGGAATATGGATGTTGTTAATCCACAAGGAATATGCTCTTGAAGTAACACTCTATGCTTTCATTATTGGATATTATATGGTGAGAAGATTAATAGAAAATAATGAAGATGACTTATTAGATACAAAGTAGCTTATATGTTGTCTGTTTTTTTTTATTTCAGGGAAGGGTAGGTTTGGCGTGGCTACAAGCATGTGTGTTGTCTTACTACGTAGCTTACTCTGAAGATCCACAGAGCATGAGGTTTGATGGTACAGTTCCACAACGTATTCAGCGTCTTCAGATGTTAAGGGCTCACCGAGAGAACAGGGAGCATGAGGTGGGGAGGGAGAGACAAGATACTGATGAGTCTCTATGAGATTTGTTACAAACATGTAAAGAAAAACAAGGATTAGTATCTTTATTTTTATTTTCTTTCTTCAAAGACTTTAGATTGTATTGATAGGGAAAGTTAGATTCAACATGTTCATATGCCAAAAAATAGTCCAATTAAAGATTAAATGTGTATTGATACATTTTATAAGTAGTGATCAGGCTTTAGATAAGAGATTGCACCATCACAAATAGAATTGATGGAGTTAAATAGTGTCACCACACCTGCAACAATATGTGACCATTAACATGCCCTTTCCAGCACAAAGTACTAGAGAAAATCTAGTAGGACATTTAAACCGGACCGGTATAAACCCGGTCATTATTAATTATAGAATCAATTTGGTATAGTGACCGGTTTGGTTTAAAATTTCGACACAAGACTCGCTAGTTGCCACGACTGAAAACAACAGTCACAAGAGACAGCTCCCGCGTCTGTAAAGAACGGATAAAGTCTCTCTCTCTCTCTCTCTCTCTCTCTCTCTCTCTCTCTCTCTCTCTCTCTCTAGCTCTGTCTGAAGAAGAAGAAGATGCTGACGAGTCCAAGTAACGCGCTTCACAGTACTCCACACTTCTGGCCTATTCGCCGGAGCAAGCTTCTTTCCCGTTCCCGGAATTTCCACTCCGGCGGAGGAAAACACTGCTCCCTCTCTCTCCTCTCCGCGAGAAGATTTAGCATCAGAGCTCTAGTTAGGCCAGAGGACGGTGACTCTGGAGCTCTATCTTTTCCTAACCACATTTCCCTCAAAATCCCTTTCGGAAATAGAGAGGTAAAAGCTGTACACTTTTGCCTTCAGTGTTTGCTTAATCTGTTTAAGTTTGATTCGGAGATGATTTGGGTTTGTAAAGTGAAAGACTTTATAGTATTTGAGACCCTTATCTCTATAATTGAGAAGCAAAGCTCGATCCTTTTGATGTATGTGTTGAACTTTATTACTTGGTGTAGATTTTAGTTGAGACTGGTCTGATGGGGAGACAAGCAAGTTCTTCAGTTACAGTGACAGACGGAGAAACTGTAAGTCTGCTTCATTCAAATGCCAAAAAAAACTTTAAAACTATTTTCACTATTTCCTCCATTTTATAATCTTCTGTTTAGCGTCTATAATTTTTGGCTGTGTCGTCTACTTGTGACTGTAGATTGTCTGCACATCAGTTTGTGTAGCTGATGTCCCTAGTGAGCCATCAGATTTTCTTCCTCTTTATGTTCACTATCAGGAACGCTTCTCAGCTGTTGGTCGAACTAGGTAATCAGTCCTTTGTAATCTTTCAGTCTCTTACTTCAAGTAAACCAAAGATCATAGACTAAAAGGAACCTTCTTCTTTATGGTACAGTGGTGGATTCTTTAAGCGAGAAGGGAAAACCAAAGACCACGAGGTATTCCATTTAGTAATGCTAAAGGATGGTTTGTTTCTTATACTATTTCATCCTTGTTAATATGTTTTTTACTTTTTGTGTTTATGCAGGTTCTGATTTGTAGGTTGATTGATAGACCTCTACGTCCCACTATGCCCAAAGGTTTCTACAACGAAACACAGATACTATCCTGGGTATGCTCCTTATGCCTCTTGTTTTGTGATTTTTTTTCATGATAATGACTTTGTTTCTTTATTACTACTTAACCATATAGGAAGATGAGTGTATTCACTTCATTGTGTCTTTAATTGACTCGTTGCTTGCTTGTTTGTGGTTTCAGGTTTTGAGCTACGATGGGTTACACGCACCTGATGCTTTGGCTGTTACATCTGCTGGAATAGCTGTGTATGTAGGGTCATCTCGTTTCCGTTTTTTTTTTGTATAAGTCAAGCTTTTCTTTTTGTTGACATAGCTTCGTGATGAACGTATACCACAGAGCTCTTTCAGAAGTACCACACTCAAAGGCAATTGCAGGAGTTAGAGTTGGTCTTATTGGAGGTGAATTTATCGTTAATCCAACCGTGAAGGAGATGGAAGAATCGCAGCTAGATTTGTTTCTAGCTGGAACAGATACTGCAATCTTAACTATTGAGGTCAAGTTCAATCTATACCTGAGTTTGCACTGTTATTTTTTTTTTAATCTTGACTCAGCCCTTGCTTACTGCAATTACCTGGGAAAATTGCAGGGATATAGTAATTTTCTTCCTGAGGAAATGCTGCTCAAAGCTGTTAAAGTTGGACAGGTATTTCATATTTAATTGAGACCAATTCAGTATTTTTTAGAATCTGGATTACGTACTGAACGTGAGGCTTTTCTATTTATTTTCCAGGATGCTGTACAAGCTACCTGCACTGCTATTGAAGCTTTGGCAAAGAAACATGGAAAAGCCAAAATGGTTGACGCTATAAGATTACCACCTCCTGACCTATACAAGCATGTGAAAGTATGTTGCTTCTCTTTTTGTTTTTGCAAGAATGGGGTTTTGCAGTGTTCAAAAACAAATGTTTTCTGTACACAGGAACTTGCTGGTGAGGAACTGAGCAAAGCGCTACAGATTAAGGGAAAAATACCAAGAAGGAAAGCAATATCGTCCCTGGAAGAAAAGGTCTTGACAATACTGACTGAGAAGGGATATGTCGTTGATGAGGTAGCATTTGGAACAACAGAAGCACAACCGGATTTATCCGAGGACGAAGACGAGGATGAGGAAGTTGTTCCTGAAGGTGAAGTGGACCAAGGTGATGTTCACATAAGGCCCATCCCTCGGAAACCTATTCCTTTGGTAAGTCTGTTAACCATATTTTACATGGTAGGGCCGTAGCTTAAAAATGAGCTTTTATCTTATTCATTTTTTTTTTCTTGTATGCTAAAACTAGTGATTGCCCTTGTGTAGCTATTTTCAGAAGTAGATGTGAAGCTGGTCTTCAAAGAAGTATCCTCAAAGCTCCTACGTAGACGAATTGTTGAGGTATATGTTGATAGGAGTCTTCCTTACTAAAACTGTACACTGCAGTAACGAATCACTTTTTTCGGAAACGGGTTTAATTGATTCCATTTTACATCTTCCTCCATCCACAGGGAGGTAAAAGAAGTGATGGTCGAACTCCGGATGAGATTCGGCCAATTGACTCTAGATGTGGCCTGCTTCCAAGGGCACATGGCAGCTCTCTTTTCACACGTGGTGAAACACAGGTAAAATCGTATTTTGTTTCTTTGTCTTGTTGCCTATAGTGTATGTCAAGGAAGTTGGTAATTTTCATGTTTTGGTAAGGAAAATTTGTGTATTATTCTTTCAGGCACTGGCAGTTGTTACTCTTGGTGATAAACAAATGGCGCAAAGAATTGACAACCTTGAGGGTTCTGATGAATACAAGAGGTTTTATCTTCAGGTCTCTTCAATATTTGATCTTCTTTTCATTCTTGTTATTATTATTTACAGATTACTTTAAAGGTTTATTTGTCACAGTCTATAGCATCTAACAGATATTTTGGGAATTTTCAATGCTTAGTCTCTTTTTCAGTTTTTTTGTTGAGCTTAAAGAGACTTACTAAGCTTATCCCTTTGATGTTCCAGTACACTTTCCCTCCATCTTCTGTTGGTGAAGTTGGACGAATTGGAGCACCCAGTAGAAGAGAAATAGGTCATGGGACACTAGCAGAGCGAGCATTGGAGACCATTTTACCTAGTGATGATGATTTTCCTTACACAATACGTGTTGAGAGTACAATACTTGAAAGCAATGGTTCTTCAAGGTCAGCTTCTTTTCTTCTTCTTTCTCTGGCTTTAGAATCTGCGCATGGCATGTTTGTCTGAGTGAGTGATTTATGTTTGCTACTTATATCGATCTGAGTTTATAACAGCATGGCATCTGTTTGTGGCGGTTGCTTGGCTTTGCAAGATGCTGGAGTTCCAGTCAAATGCTCTGTTGCTGGCATAGCAATGGGAATGGTTTGGGATACAGAAGAATTCGGCGGTGATGGATCTCCTCTTATCCTTTCTGACATCACTGGAGCTGAAGATGCATCTGGTGATATGGACTTTAAGGTCTGAATGTATAAGGATTCTATTCAAGGTCCTTGCATTTTACTTTAATGCTAACGTTTTGATTTGTTAGGTTGCTGGGAACGAAGATGGTGTTACTGCGTTTCAAATGGACATAAAGGTTATTATCCGTTTCTCAATTTACATTACTGAAATGGTTTAGATAAATATGTTAGTAACTTTCTTGAGTTTTCCTTTTTCTTTTCTGTAAACATGAACTAGGTAGGAGGAATCACTTTACAGATAATGGAAAAGGCTCTGATACAGGCAAAAGCTGGGCGTCGCCATATTCTTGGTAAGGAACTCTAGATAAAGGAATTAGTTTATACTTGAAAGAAGGTTGCCATTTAAGATGTAATTTACCAATTTTTATTCTTTCTGTGCAGCTGAAATGGCAAAGTGCTCACCGCCTCCTACGTTGAGTCTCTCAAAATACGCTCCATTGATACATATCATGAAGGTTTGTGGCTTCTCAAGAATTTCTCAGTATAACGCCTTATTGCCCTGAACTAAAGATTTTTAGCTTTTCGTGTGCTACAGGTCCATCCAAGCAAAGTATACTCCCTTATTGGTTCTGGTGGGAAGAAAGTAAAGAGTATCATTGAAGAATCCGGAGTTGAAGCCATTGATATGCAAGATGATGGAATTGTGAGACTTACAGGATTTTGCTTTTCATTGTTTTTGCTACATTAAGGTTGTTTCATCATCACAGCTTGTTAAATATTTTTCTTTGTCAAGGTGAAAATTATGGCAAACAATGTGGCGAGTCTGGAGAGGGCGAAAGCCATTATCAGTGGGTTGACAATGGTTCCAGCTGTTGGTGATATCTACAGGTATGGCCTTATCTCATCAGGCCTCACCTTACATGGACTTGAAATCTGACCTTTTCTTTTTATCAGGAATTGTGAAATCAAATCAATGGCTCCTTATGGTGCCTTTGTAGAGATTGCACCTGGGAGAGAAGGACTTTGCCATATCAGTGAGCTGAGTGCTGAATGGCTTGCCAAACCAGAGGATGTGAGCATAGTCCATTGATCCCTTACTTTCTTCTTTATTTAGGCTTTTACTTACGCTCTTCCCCTATTAATCTTGTCCTTTCAGGCCTATAAAATAGGAGACCGCATTGATGTGAAACTAATAGAGGTCAGCGAGTTCCTTGCCTCTCTTTTAACTCATAGAGACATTATAACTAATTGGAAATGAGATTTTGGATGAGTTGTTTGAACAAAGAAACATTGATAACAATGCAGGTGAACGAAAAAGGTCAGCTTCGGCTTAGTGTACGGGCTTTACTTCCGGAATCAGAGACAGGCAAAGACAGTCAGAAACCACCACCTCCGACAAGTGATTCTACCAAGGACAAGGTTTCACAAAGGAAATATGTTAATACTTCATCGAAGGACCGTGCAGCATCATCAAAAGTTGCATCAGGGGATGAACTAGTCTTGGAGAAGAAAGATGTCAGGACAGCAGCCGCTGGTGACATGCCAAAGAAAAGCAACGAAGAAGATAGAGGCAGCTTAGTCAATGGTGAACCTACAATCAGCTAGTGAATGCAAACAAGACCAGTGTTCATATCTGTTTCTTGTGAAGACTCATTACGAAAGAAGGAGAGTTTCTTTCAACGGAACCATAGGTGAGACTTGAATAATCTTGATTCTTGTTTTTTGTTTGTGAGCTGGAAAGATGTGAGACAAGTTGCAGATAGCTTTTCTTAATGTTTTACAGATATATGTTGCCAAGTCTGGTGTGGAGGAGGATTAACATTCTGAAGAGACAACATATGTAGGGAAAGATTAAACCAATTCTATGTGTGGAGAAATCAGAAGATGATCAAGACTCAGTCATTACATTCTTTTTTTTTTGTTGTCTTCTCTTGCAAACTTATTATTCAGCTCTGTTTACGTTATCTTATTTTTTAGAGAATGTTATTGACTCAAAACATATTTAGATGACTTTTGTCAAATGTTTAATGTGTATGTCTGAATCTTACACACTTATCTGCACTTTTCCCATTAGCATAATAAGAAATATACACTTAAAATGACTGATAATGTACATAAAACGTTGTAGTATATCTTGGCATGTGCCATCTGTGTAACTCTCTTTAAATGCTACTTTAAGCAACAACAGAGCTTGAGTTCAAAACCCCCTTCGGTTTTGCTATGAATCAACGACTCAAGGAAAATGATCTGTTGTTTTCCCTGTACAAGCTGTTGGAACACAGCTTGCATTGTTTAGTAAGCTGTGAGACCGGCCATAGAAGAGGTAGATCATACTTCCAACAAGCAGCCATATCAAGACCCTGATCCATGTCCCAACTCTGCCATTGCAAACACCAAACAATGTTTTAGAACGATCCAATTTTGCATTCATACATATTCATCATGATGGTCCATCAAACATACTAACCCGATGTTGATGATCAAGTAGGTGTTGATCAGAATGCAGAGAACAGGAAGATATGGGACACATGGGCAGAGAAACCCTAAAATTGAATCAAAATAGAGAGTGTAAGTTAAACATGAATATAAGCATAGCTGCCAAAGCCTAACTAAAAATCTTCCTAGCCAGATAGCACCTTTGAAAAAAGTGAAGAACCAACCAAAGCTCAATGATGGCTAGCAGCATTTTATATTCAACTAGAATTTTCATTTTTTTCTTCTGTTCAGTATGAATAGACAACAAAAGACATAAGCCTCAGACAGATATTACCTCCTTGGTGTCCAAAGTTGTGCCTTTCATCATCCTCATCAATGCAACCAAGAGTAATCAAACTGCCAAGTAAGATGGCTGCACTGAGACCACACATAGTGAACCGAGGAAAACTGTGATCAAGGACAAGAAAGAAAACCCATTTTTCAACAACACTGTTAAAACTGTTTCAAATATATTTGTTTAGAAATAATGAAGACTCAACTAGACAGACATATGATAATCAGATGATGAACCGACCTTGGAAGACGCTCAGCAGAAGCTGCTGAAGAAAGTCCTAAGACACCTATGCACACAAGAACTATACTCCACCCAGCAATTTTTCTTCTCTTTCCAAAGTACTTTTCATCTGTTCAATGAAAAATTAACAAAAGACAGTAAAGATTGAGCACATTTTATTACAGAGTCATCTTAATAACATATACAAATGGTAAGCACATGAATTAGCGCATATGAGTACCTCGAGCTGTTTCAACGCCAAGTAGAGGAGAATAAGAAGATTCTATAGCATCCACACGAATAGTTTCGGAGGATGGTAATGGAACACCATATGGTGGTACATATCTGAGAACTAGCACACAGACTGCTACAGCAGTGAAAGCCATCAGCGTACCTACACTAACCTGATGAATGAATAACGCTGTGAGTTACAAAGTGAATGATCTTTATTTCATAGAAAAGTGACCCCAACTCAAACATCAAATACTATAATACTAATCAATGAAACCTCTATCTTTTCTCTTTGACACTAATTGCAGGTAAGAAGAATCATTCCACAATTAGACATGTAACATAGGCAAAAAGATAAGAGCTTACCATCTCGGATAACTGTGAAACATCCATGAAAAACGCAAGTGAAGCGGCCAGCACACCAATTACTATAGTGTTTTTCACCGGTACTTGAGTTCGTGGGTCAATTTCTGCAAAGAAAGCTGGTAACAATCCGTCCCTAGCCATTGCCATAAAGATCCGCGGCTGATGAAAAAAAATCACAAACCACAATCAAAATTACATATGTGCTTAGAACAATAAGAAATGGTTAGTACCTGAGCTAGAAGTGAGCCTAACAAACTAGCGCACAGAGCGGTTATAGCCCCAGTAGTTAAGATGTACCTGAAACAATATAAGAACTATATGTTATATTCACTCTCATGAAGTGAAAGCGATTTAAGTCTTCAAGAGATGTATCATGCTTACGCTGCCCATTGCATCCCACTGTCTCCAAATGCAGAGGAGATAGGAGTATCAGGATCCAAGGTATAGTATGGGACCAATCCAACAATAACTATTGATAAAAGCATATATAAAATGCAGCATATCAGTAATGCTATCCCAATTCCCAATGGAAGATCCCTTTGAGGATTTTTAACCTGTTGTGGCAATTACCAAAAAAGTTTAAGAGCTTCACAAAACTAAAACCAAATTCAATAACTAGTTAGTTAGTTCTATACAGAATCTTAAAAATCAGTTCTATAACTCAATAGACTGTATACCTCTTCAGCTGTGCTAGTCACTGTATCAAATCCAATGTATGAGAAGAATACTACAGCAGCTCCAGCGAGTATCCCATTTAATCCAAAAGGAAAATAGCTGTGAAGGCAAGAACCAAGACATTGATCTTTAAAATAATTATGTGACACAAAACTAAGCTCAGTGGAGGAATAGGCTAACATTACCCACTCGAAAGATCATATCCAACCCAACCAGTCTTGAAAGCTGTATATCCACCAACTACTATGATGAAAACCAATGTGCAAACATTCACTGATGTTACAATTGCTTGTACTAATGAGCTCTGTCAAGACAAGAAAAAAATAAACTGGCTTCAATACTCTGTTAAAATGATCTAACAATCCTGAAATGAGTGTTTGAAATGTAAATACCTCCTTTATCCCAAAGCATAGTAGTATTGTCACAATCATAATCAACAGTGCTGCACATGGATCAACTACAATACCAAGTCCAGGTATGGTTTGTCGAGCTAAGAACACAGGAAGTTTGTCCAAGCCTCCAAAAAAAGATGCCTAAAGCAAAACTACCAATTAAATCAATAAGAAACAGGAATACACATAACTCAAATGTAATTACCAGATTTGGAGATATGCCACGTGCAATGGCTGATCCGCCAATTGTATAATCTAACACCAGTGCCCAACCAACCAACCAAGCAATCCTATGAAACAAGAACACCAAGACTCTCAGCTATGTTTCAGTAAATTTTATACCATTAGAATTAATTTAATCCATACCCTTCTCCAAGACATATGTATGCATAATGATAAGCACTGCCAGCAGATGGACAACGAGAAGCAAGCTCAGCATAACAACAAGCGGAGAGAGCAGCTGCTACTCCAGCTATAAAGAATGATACAGCAAGAGCAGGTCCTGTGTGTTCTCTAGCTACTGTTCCCACAAGAATATACACTCCTGCTCCTATTGTTGTTCCAACTCCTTTAAAGACAACAGAACACAATTAACATCTATAGGAAAACAAATGCTGGTTGGTTCCAGAAAGGACATGTAATGAAATGAGGAAAATGTACCAATAGCGACAAGATCAACGACTGTTAATTTCTTGGCAAGATGATGATGTCCATCATGGTCGTTTTTGAGATGAACAGAATCAACTTGTTTCCTTCTTACAAGACAATTGAAACCCCATGAACACTTGCTTGAACCACCCTTCTCGTTCATGTCAGCACCAAAAAGAAAAACGACTCCACAAGGATTTGATTTTTTTTCCAACAAACTTTGAAAGATGTCTCAAAATCCAGATGAGATATGGGAGATACTTTGAGAGGCGTGCACGATTCTAACTTTTTGAGAAAGGTAGAAAACAAAGATTCCTGATGATGATGTCAGATAAAGGTTTTGTGATTTTTTCTAATGATTTAATCCGAAGATATTCTCTTCTTGTTCGGTCTCTTTGTTTTTGTCAAAACAAATTCTTTTGGTAGATTTTTTTTTGTTTCTTGACAACTATTCTTTACTAGTATCTAATCTAGGAGGATATATATGCTATATATGGAAAACGAGTTTTGTGGATCTTATTCTATTAAATATTTTTTTAGAAATGAGTTTTTATCATTAGATTGGTTTTAGAACATATGTATGAAGAGGTTATACAACAAAATAGACCGTCTCCTAACTGTATCTTCTGGACTGTAACATTCACAGCATCCGAACGTAGAAGAAACACTAAATCATAAGATCTCGGCACCATTGTTTGATCTGGTCTTTACTTGAGCCTAGTTGGCATTTTATTACACTTTGTTTGCTCAATCTTCAGCCATGGTGGAGTAGTGTCTCACCTTTTGCATTAGCATTCATAACTTGAACCCAAACACTCTGACTACTCTCTGCTCCATTGATCTCTCCCGACGCCTGTTGTTACCTGAAGTGATAGGCAGTGTTCCATTAGATAGTCAACACCATCTGATCTTATAACAGCTGTGTAACATTAAAACCAATATTTGAGTTTTGTTGCGGAATCAACTTCAGTTATAAGAGACATAATAAAGGGCAAGTTCATTCAGACAAAACGATTTCAAAGCTAAAGCATTGTATCTACTGATATAATCCTTGCATAGTAGACTGAGTCTAGGAGGCAATTTGTATTTTATGAGCAGCTCCTGGAAGCTTTTGCAGCTAATGCGTCTGATGCTGAGGTCCAACAGATGAAACAGAAGATGATGATGATGATGACTCTGCATCTTCGATTATCTAAAGGAGCAAAACCTTCAACACAAAAAGCATTACGAATTAGAGAGAAATGCAATGCACTTACAGTGTTGTATAAATGTTAAGAGAAATTACCTTGAAAAGACAGTGTGACAACTAAGAAGATCTCATCAAAAAGCCCTACACTTTGGTGAGACCAATCTACACAAGAATAGAGACTAAACTCCATAAGATAAGTAATGAATGAACGACCAACACAGAGAAAGATTGAAACTTCACCACTTGATAAATCTATGCGATCCGTTTATGATTTGCGAAAATTCTTTCATCGCCTTTGTTGGTTTTTTCTTTAAATGAAAAATTCTCAGACCAGATGCTTCTGATGAGTTTCTTCGAAGCTTGTCCTGTAATAAAAAGTAACCAACTTTAAATAATTGTCTTAACAGAAAAAAATTAGTTCTTTTTTTTTTTTAAACCAAAGAAAAATTTATGCTTTGGGAGAAGAATGGAGAAACAGTTACGTCTCGGAGAATCTCACTTTCTCCAATGTGCTGACGTCATTCTTCCATGGCTAAACCCTCGAGAGCTAGCTTCCGTCTCTCAAACCTGTAAAGCCTTATCCTTTATCTCCAAATCCATCACTCTCCATCGATCCCTCGACGCCGCACGATCCCTCGAGAATCTCCCCATCCCATTCCTCAACACCGTCGATTCCAAACGCTACGCAGATTTCATCTACACACCTTTTCAAATCCCCGCCTCTACCTCCTCTCCTCCGCCACGTCAGCAGTGGGGCTCTGCTAGTAATGCTCAAATTAGCTTAATTTCAGATTCTGTCTCGGTGAGTTTAGTGGATGGTGTGTGTGGATGCGAGTGCGAGAGGTGTGAGGAAGGATATTGTCAGTGCTTAGCACTTGCAGCAGATTCAAATGAGATAGGTAATGAATGTGGATTTGGTTGTGGTTGCGGACCGGATTGTCCAAACCGGTTGACTCAAAAGGGGATTTTGGTTGGTTTGAAGATAGTAAGAGATGAGAAGAAAGGTTGGTGTTTATATGCTGATCAGCTTATCAAGAAAGGCCAGTTCATATGTGAATATGCAGGTAACACTTTCCTGTCAGTATAGTTTTTTTTTTTCTTTCAACTGCTAAAGTTTATTGATTTTGAATGGTTTAACTTGAAACTTGAGTGTTTTAGCTCATGATTAGAAGAACTTAGCATTAGTCATGTGACTCAGAAACGTCCTAGATACTATTAAACCATTTGGATTTTAGAATAATGTAATGATCTTATTGCAATAAGTTGATTTATTCTTACAAGTACTTGAAAATTTAGTTCAAGAGTACATTATTAGCATCAGTTATTAGCTATTATCTGCTAAAGCATAGGACTTTGAAGATGTATCTCTGTGCATTGGGAGGAGATTGTAGCATTGTATTATAGTTATCTCCATTACATTACAGTGAAATATTAGTTAGACGTTTTGGTATGTTTTTGTATCAACCGTTTAGATTATAAAGCAATATTTTTGATTAAATGTGTGCTTCTGATCTGTCCTAATGATCATTTGTACATCACTTGAGAGCACTCGGTTTATGCAAAATTCAGAACAGTGTTTTCGTTTTTTTCTTCTTATATAGGTGAGCTGTTGACAACAGCTGAAGCACGTAGACGTCAAACCATCTACGACAAACTCAGGTCAACGCAACAATCGTTCTCCTCAGCTCTCCTAGTCATACGTGAGCACCTACCTTCGGGACAAGCTTGCTTAAGAATAAACATAGACGCCACAAGAATTGGGAATGTTGCTAGGTTCATTAACCATTCTTGTGACGGTGGAAATCTCTCCACTGTCTTATTGAGAAGCTCGGGAGCTTTGCTTCCTCGCCTCTGTTTCTTTGCAGCAAGGGACATAGTTGCTGGTGAGGAGTTAAGTTTCAGTTACGGAGATGTACGTCTCACTCCAGAGAAGAGCACAGAGAACAAGTTGAATTGTTGTTGTGGTAGTTCCTGCTGTTGTGGAACATTGCCTTGTGAGAACACCTGATTTTGTTATCATCATCATCACCTTCTGTCTCTTATCTATACTTATGTCTGAATTCTGAGTTCTGACAAATTATTGGTTCTTGAGTAAGTACTAATGTACTATTAACAGCTTTGATCATTGGCAACAAGAACAGAGTAATTTTTGAAAACAAGAAACTATGATTGTTTTTTTTTTTTTTTTTGAGCAAAAGAAACTATGATTGTTATAGATATATATGGGAGTTAGGTTCCTCTACATAGAGGGTAGTGAAGAACACACAACGGGACCAACACAAAAACTCGTTGTCTCTCTACCTCTCATGCTCTTCATATCCTGTAATTTACAGACACAAACACAACATTAAACTCATTTACTTTAAAACTACCTAAAACTCGATTTAAAACTACCTGAGTCTCGTGGAGATTCGAGTGTTGTTATGTGTAAACGAGAGGGAGTAGGAAGAGAGGAAGCTGCAAGAGAAGGCGAGCCGCGAAAGCTTGAGGGATTGCTGTTTTGTAGCCAACCTTCTTGGACTTGAGAAGCAAACTGAAGATTCCACAGAACATCTTCAATGGAAGGGCGTTCTAAAGGGTCTTTGAGAAGACACCTTACACATATCTCCATCATTGTCTTCATTGATTGGTCTGAACAAGTTTTATAGACCTTTGGATCCACCATGCTCCTACGCGCTCCATCATCCCCTGAGATGCTCGCTTGTAACTACAAAATATAATGGGAACAAGAATACAGTTTATGAAGTAGATGATCAAAAATTTCATTTCTAGCTATATATATACAATGGTGTTACCTGCTCTTTTAGAACATCTACTTGACCCTTTGCTTTCAATGGTCTTCCCACTATAAGTTCAAGCAAGATCACCCCAAAGTCATAGATATCCATTTTATCTTCATCTTTGAGGCTGTTGAGAAACAGAGGATTTAAGATAATTTAAGATAAGGAACCTGCATATATAGATTAGTATCTTACACACCTTTGAGTTCCTTTGGGTCCAGTTCTTGAAACTACTTGACCCACCTTCAAAAGGAGAGATTCAGCAAAAGGACTCAAGAAAACTAATAAGATATATAGACTTAAACATCATTTACCTTTCCAAGACCTTCCACAAGTAAAGGAAGGTTATAGCTACTGATTTTTGCAGCGAGGTTATTGTCAAGCAAAACGTCTGTTATCTTCAAGTTGTTGTCATAAACACCAGGCACGATACCAGTATGCAAGAACTGTATCCCTTTTGCTACACCTATCGCTACGCTTATGCGTTGTTCCCAAGTAAGCAATCTTCCCATATTCCCATCTAAACACAGAACAGTGAAGTTAGAGAAAAACATATAATGATGATCATGTTCTTAAGATGATAGACATCATGTTATAATATCATACCAGAGATCCAGCTCCTGAGTTCTCCATTTGGGACATACTCAAAGACAAAGAACATTCTGCTGACTGTTGAGTCATCTAAGTAGCACTCAAAACAGTGCCCTAGCACACTAACCAAATGACGGTGCCTCAGCTTAGCAATGAGCTCTATGTGATGCATCAGGTTTTGAGTGCTGCAACTTTTCTTCATTTTCAAACATCTAATTGCCACAAATGATCCATCTTTCAACCTCCCTCTATAAATCTGAACATAACAAGCTAAAGATGAGAAAATCACACTTTCAGAACTTGAAGACAGAAGAAACCTTGAAGTTTTTTTACCTGTCCTTGAGAACCTTCACCCATGAAAGCAGAGGATTCAAAGTTATTTGTTGCATACTCAAGTTCTTCAAGTGAGAATGTCCTGTAAGCTGGAAGACCAAGCGCTCCTAGCTTCATTGTTTGAGAGATATACCCTTTCACAAGTAATCAATAAAACTCAATATGTGAAAATGTGTGACAAATAATATGAAATAATGTTTTCTTACTTGCATCTGAGAGTAGCTTTGATGTGTATCCCATTGAAGCATTCTCTTTGATCAATCTTGGAGAAGCTTTAGTTTCTTTCCTCTTAGCATTAATCCTCCTACGAACTACAAACACTGCACCAGCGAGGAGAATCAACCCTAGGATGCCTGCGGTTACACCTAAGGCAATACCCAACTTGGAAACTCTTTTCCTCCTCTGTGGTAAGATCCCAACAGCAAGAGCTTCATTGCTACAAAGTGAAACTGGACGCTGGTCTTCAATTTCAGTAGCCAAACAGTTACCTGCATAGACAACATCTCTGCTAGCTCCTGAGCTCGGTTTAAGACAATCAGGCAAGCTTCCTGTAAGAAGATTAGATGAAAGATCAACAGACATCAGCTGTGAGTTGCAAGAAAGATTTGTCGAAAGCCGCCCGGTGAGTTTGTTGTGTGAAATGTTCAAGTAGGTTATTGCTGGGAGAGACATCAAGGAAGTAGGGAAAGGACCAACGAATGTGTTGAATGAAAGATCCAAATGTTGAAGCTGATACAAAGAACTCACTTCTTGAGATGATACTGCAGACCTAAACATGTTCTTGCTGAGTATAAGAGTAACCAACTTGTGGCTTAACTGAGGAAACATCGGTCCAAAAGAGTTTGATTCAAGATCAAGCACTTGAAGGTTTGTCAAATGGCTCAAATCAGGTAAACCTCCACTAAACCGGTTATTAGCTAGAGAAAGAACTCTAAGACCTGACAAGGTACTCAGTGAAGAAGGTAAGGACCCGTTGAAAGCATTCTTTCTCAAGCTCAACACAGCTAAACTCGGTAAAGAACCAATCCAATCCGGTACAAGACCAGAAAACATATTCTCATCGAGTATAAGTGTCTGAAGACTAGCTAGTGACGAGAGTTCATGTGGTACAGGTCCAAAGAGGAAGTTAGAACTCACATTGAGAATCTCTAATGAGGATAAACGGTTGATTTTATCAGGTAACCGACCCCATACACCGAGAGACACAAGGGTGAGAACTTTAACATCAGGGAGCTTAGCAAGAGTAGTAACAAAAGAGTCTATTGAGAAACTCTTTGGTAACATATGACCTCTTCTGTCTCCTATGATGTGAAGCTGCGTTACACTATCTTCGTAGCATACAACGGTTAGGGAGGAATTTGGCTCAGAGTTGCAGAAATCTGTAAAGTTGTTCCAGCTGGTTAAGACTTTAGGGTAGTAGAGAAGCTGTTGAAGCCTCAGGAGGGTTTGAGATTGAGATGATTGAAGCTGTGTTGATCCATCAATAGAGGCTAAAACCAGAACTAGAAGCAGTAATGGTAATCCACAAATGTGTTTCTCCATATCCACACACAAGACCACACAAAGATAATCACATAAGCATCATGATTATCAATACCTGCAAAGAGTGACACATCATATTTATAGAAAAAGTACTTTAAAAAAGAGAAAAATTATATAGTTTTTGCATGTAAATTCCTGAGAAACAGGAAGAACTCACCACCTGTGTTAGAGTTTCTTCTCCTTCTCAAGACACCTAGCAGGAAGAGAAAATGCTGGAAAATTTTGAGCTCTAAGAGATTATTTTTTTCTTTTCAGTTTTATCAAAAAAAATAAAAGGTGAATGAGAGATGAGAACAAATGGTTTCCTTTGAGATGAAGAAATACCTCTGCAAACTTCTGAAGGAACTGTAAAACGAATATTGATTTATACTTTTTAAGAGAAAAGTAGAAACCTAGATTTGTAGGAGAAATTGTGAAAAGTTCCCAAGAAACTTTAAAATATTCAAGAACCCTTCACGAGTGATTCTAGTTCTTTAAGGATAAAACAGAGTACAAAATCAACCCAACAAAATATTATAAAGACAGCAAAAAGTTGTGCAAATTCAATGTAAAGAAAACATTTTAGCAACCATACAATTAAGTAAACTGTCACTAGTTGACAACAGAGAGTCTGGTCCTCCTCTCTATCACGAGGAGAAGACAATAAGAAAGATTTTAAAAGATTATTTTGAGGAAAATAAATATAGTAAAACTAGAATTCAGAAAGAAAAAACAAAAGTTCTTGAAAGTGTTCACATGCATTACTAGAACAGGGAATCCCACCGGCTCTGTCCGACATTTTGTTGTGTTCTCTTAATTTTTGGGTTGAATCACTATCAGCATTATTTTCACAGTATTAAATATGTTCATATTATATCATCACTTTCAAGAAAACAGGGACCAACGAGAGAGCCCACTCGGGCCAAAGCTGTATTTTCATTAATAGCTATGCTAATTTTTCTTTTGTCCTCAAGAGAGATTTTATTAAACATGAAAGGATACAAGTTTCGACTTAAAGAGCATGTTTAATGGGAGGTTCTTAACGGAATATAAGAACCCGACATTAAGAGTCGATTTTTAGTTTTTTTAATTAAAAATTAAGAGACGGTTCTTTATATTCTGTTAAGAACCTCATACTAAGAACCTCCAATAAACATGCTATAAAAATAGATGTTATAAGTAACACAAGATTAATGGCTATGCTAAGAATGACTGAAGAAATAGTAAAAATGAACTGGATAAAAATGGCATGACAAATGTAGTACAAAGTTTCTTTTAAATCAGAAGTAGGCTTTACAAGTTAAAGATCAAACCGAGATAAACCAGATCCATGCAGAACTTAAATCTGGAGAAGTAATATATTATAAGGTTAAAATAAAAAGTGAAGTTATGGCACAGACTGTTGTGTAACCTTTCGCACGGTGGCATTTCCATCAGAAAAGTCACATCAGACTTTTTTTAAAGTGACACATGTGGATCCTACAATTCTGCCTTTACAAAAAAAAAGCTGAAGAAAAGTGATAGAGTAACAAATTAGATCATATGTTATTGTATATTTGCTAATTGTGGCTGCTTTCAAGAGATAATTAGTACACATGTAATAGCGTGTTAAGGAAGTTATCTTTACTAACAATTCATAATCCGATATTACGATTTGGTTCTCTGAAACACACTATATACACTTTATGCAGCAGAGAGGATGTTTGAGTTATTTTTATCTTATAGTTTTATACGATTTATATATGGAGATAAAAGAGCAAATGCTTACAAACATAAGAATACAAAAATTCGTGAATGTTTAGTCCACCTAGCTACTAGCTAGTTTTATGGGTACACATCTTCTATCAGACTTTCCTTATTCAATATTCGATTTTTTTTTACTGAAATCTTCGAAAAAATAATATTTGAATTGGTTCATGTTAAAACATGTTCTATATCATGTTTGCTGGTTAATTAGCTTTTGTTTACTTATTCGAATAACTTAGATTTTAAATAAAAATTCTCTTAAATTTCCTTTTATTTTTGTTAGTAGTTAGTTACTTAGTTTATGTTGGTTACTTCTCAGTGACGTTTTATTCAACATGGTTTACAAAAAGAAGGTTAAACTGCTGCTGCAACGTAGAATCGACCAACTTTAACGTACACCGAATCTAATCTAAAAATTAATGTAATGAAAACATTGATATTTGGCACACGAAAAGAAAACTAATAAGTATCAATATAATATCAAACTGTATTGGCGAAATAGTATGATTTTATTTCAAAGAAACATTATGTTTATATACACATTAGAATACAAGGAATTATAAATGACAAATTAGAATATCACGAGAAAAAACATTAGGTTAAGTAAGACGAGAAAAACATTAGGTTAACTAAGACGTACGTTAGAGGTGAGTGTCATTTTCGCATGCCGGTGTAATAAATTAAGTTAGGTTAGATGGTTTATTCAGCATTGTATTTATTATTATTCTTCGGTTAGGTGTGTCGTAAATGTAAAGTGATCATCCAGTAAGTTATAAACCGCATCCATTACTTGTGTTTTTACTATAATCCAAAATGTTTTTGATAGAACACTAAAACAGGAGAGAACTTTAAATATAATCTCACGGTCTTGTGTGCAAGTGTTGAATAGCATGCATGTGTCATTATTGATCTATGATTTGTTACAAACTGTGACAGATGTTCATGTTGTCTCTAAAACTTTCTGTTTCTTGTCATTTAATAGCTTTATAAAAATTAAAAGGACAAAAAAAAATTTCTTGTTGAATTGTCCTTGAGATTTTATAAATCCAATGACATTAAAAATGCACAAAAAAGTTAAGGTTTCTAAAAGTTCACGTGGAAGAGCAGCAATTAACTTTCATTTGTCCTTTGGACATATATGCGAAGAGCCCATTTGGCTATGTGTGGGCCAACCAACTGTGGGTATTTGAAAACATCGTTTCCTTTTTGGATAATTTTGACATCTCCATAAGTTATGTGATCCAAATGAAATATACGAAAAATGTAGGGTCTGATTGTAGATTATTTGACCTTTACCTAGTTCGTTCCTTTCAGAACTCGACTCTTACTATAGAACTCGATTTGACACTGTTCCATGATAAGAAACTAGCAGCAACTGCCTAAACTAGCCACCTTGGATAGTTCAAAGACTTCTTTGCATACATATACACGTTTTAACTAATCCTCATTAAGGTAAATAGTCTGACACTTGATCAAATGTAAAGGTAAACAAGAGGTTTGAATTTTTAATATTTGGTTATCCACGTATGGGACCTAAGAGAGAGCTCAAGTTTGCATTGGAATCTTTCTGGGATGGCAAGTCCACAGCCGAGGATTTGAAGAAGGTCTCAGCTGATCTCAGGTCAGACATCTGGAAACAGATGTCTTCAGCTGGGATTAAGTACATCCCAAGCAACACTTTTGCTTACTATGATCAGGTGCTAGACACCACTGCTATGCTCGGTGCTGTTCTTCCTAGATATGGTTGGAACAGTGGTGAGATTGGTTTTGATGTTTACTTCTCTATGGCCAGAGGAAACGCCTCTGTTCCAGCCATGGAAATGACCAAGTGGTTTGACACCAACTAGTGAGTTTTCTACTCTATTTCTCTTGTCTGACACATTGATATTGATTTTTTCTTTTGTGTACATGGTCTGGTTAACATACTTTTCCTCTGTTTTTTTGTTTGTTGCAGCCATTACATCGTCCCTGAGTTGGGTCCTGAAGTGAAATTCTCGTACGCATCTCACAAGGCTGTCAATGAGTACAAGGAGGCCAAAGCTGTATGTAACCATTACTCACTTATAGTTTTTTTTTTTGTTCTTATACTGAGAGTACTTGTTTATGCAGCTTGGTATTGAGACAGTTCCTGTACTTGTTGGTCCTGTCTCTTACTTGCTTCTTTCCAAGCTTGCAAAGGGTGTTGACAAGTCATTTGATCTTCTCTCCCTTCTCCCCAAAATCCTCCCAATCTATTAGTATGAGATTAAAACTTTTCTCAACTGCTATGAAATGTGTTTTCTGACATGCCTTTGTTGCTCAGGGAAGTCATTGAGGAGCTTAAGGGAGCTAGTGCCACATGGATTCAGTTTGATGAGCCACTCTTTGTCATTGATCTCGAGACTCACAAACTTCAGGCCTTTAGCAGTGCATATGCTGAGCTTGAATCAGCTCTCTCTGGTCTGAATGTTCTTATGGAGAGATTACTTCGCTGATGTCCCTGCTGAAGCATACAAGACCCTTACTTCCTTAAAGGGTGTGACTGCCTTTGGTTTTGATTTGATCCGTGGCACCAAGACCATTGACTTGATCAAGTCTAGCTTCCCCAAGGGAAAGTACCTCTTTGCTGGTGTTGTTGATGGAAGAAACATCTGGGCCAATGACCTTGCTGCCTCTCTCATTACCTTGCAGTCACTTGAGAGTGTTGTTGGTAAAGGTAATTACTCAATTAGAAGTGTTATTATTATTCTTTAAATCATTGGTTATATAACCTTTGTGCATTGGTGCAGACAAGCTTGTGGTCTCAACCTCTTGCTCCCTTCTCCACACTGCTGTTGACCTTGTTAATGAAACTAAGCTGGATGATGAAATCAAGTCGTGGTTAGCTTTTGCTGCTCAGAAGGTTGTTGAAGTTGATGCATTGGCTAAAGCTTTGGCTGGTCAGACTAATCAGGTATTGCAAAAACAAAAAAACTTGTTTCTCTAGTGAACCCTAAACACTACAACTCTCTTAACACTTTCAGAGCTTCTTCTCTGCCAATGCTGCTGCTTTGTCTTCAAGGAGATCTTCAAGGCCAAGAAGTGAGTCTCTTAAGTTGGCATTGATCATTAAACAGTTTAGTAAGTTAGATTATGATCTATCTCTTGTACTAGAATCTCTGAAGAGGATTACGTAAAGGCCATCAAGGAAGAGATCAACAAAGTTGTTGACATCCAAGAAGATCTTAACATCGATGTACTTGTCCACGGAGAGCCTGAAGTGAGTTTAATAAAAAAACAAAACCTATAAAAACTCATCACAACGTTCTGTTTCTGACTCATTATGTAACAAAACATTATAGAGAAACGACATGGTTGAGTACTTTGGAGAGCAGTTATCAGGTTTTGAATTCACAGCAAACGGATGGGTACAATCCTATGGATCACGTTGTGTGAAGCCACCGATCATCTACGGTGACGTGAGCAGACCCAAGCCAATGACAGTGTTCTGGTCTTCAACAGCTCAGAGCATGACTAAACGTCCCATGAAGGGTATGCTTACAGGACCAGTCACGATTCTTAACTGGTCTTTTGTCAGAAACGACCAGCCTAGGCACGAGACTTGTTACCAGATTGCTTTGGCTATTAAAGATGAAGTGGAAGATCTTGAGAAAGGTGGTATTGGAGTCATTCAGATAGATGAAGCTGCGCTTAGAGAAGGGTTGCCTCTTAGGAAAGCTGAACACTCTTTCTACTTGGACTGGGCTGTTCACTCTTTCAGAATCACTAATTGTGGTGTCCAAGATAGTACTCAGGTAAATACTTGTAAGAACTCAAACTAGGCATGGTTGTTTTTACCCCAAATCTAATTCCCAACCTTAATCCAAACTGAAAAACTGAAATCTTATTCGAACCGTTATAAAAAAATACCCGAACGAGATTTAAGAACTACGTATTTTCGAGTTCGAATATAATCCGAACTAAGATCCAAAAATATCTGAAATTAATAAATATATTAAGGTGATTTAGATATTTATAGTATTTTGAAGATTTTTGTATTTCTGTATTTGAATTTTT